GACAAGGAAAAGGTATGGAAATATTCTCAGCATCATAACCCTTAAGACAACTAGGAAGATGTACATCTTTAGCAACTAACTTGATTGGGAAAAAGCAAACCCAAACACAACTATCTGCAAATAACCTCTCCTTGGAGGAAGAATACTGCTGACAACTCTATTGACAAGTCTGCCTGAACTGAAATACCAAACAACAACAACAAATTACACTTGTATAGTGCCATTCACATTGGAAAGACGTCCCAGGATGTTGGACAATCAAGGGTTTTGGACAGCACTTGTATACTAGGGACTTATTATACAATACAATTTACATTTATACAATGCCTTTCATGTCGGGAGGATGTCTCAAAGCACTTCATAGGGCACCCAAGTTGGGCACTGACTCCTGCATTAGCACAAAAGATAAAGCGTGCACACACATACATGCACACACAAATAATCCTTGCATTTGATATAGCGCTTTTCATGTCGGGAGGACATACCAAAGAGCTTAAAGACCCTACTCAGTCTAGACTTGCGGATGGTTGACTTTGTCAAGTGAACAGGGAAATTCAAGGCTTGCTTCTGTTCACATACACGGTATTCTGCTATTTAATTCAGAAAATATATTCAGACCAAAGAGTGTTTCAAAAAATATTTCTCATTGCAGAGGATTGTGAGAATGTGGAGTGATCTTCCCTTGGATGTAGAATTGATTGGGATATTTAAAAGGAAGATGTTTCTATGTCCATAACTGTGTTGCAAGCAGTTTATAACATCAATTCAGAGCAGTCCTTACTTATTGAAATAGTCACTGCCCCTTTACTTCTCTATGCTGCTGGGTGGGACATGGAGAATTTTTTAGTGCCCTGCGACTGTATAATATTTTCATGAGTATTTGCAAGTGAATCCATTAAATATAACTTTAAACAAAGACCTAGGCATCTCTGCTTGTCCTTCAGAATTATTTTAGAAATTGTGTGTAGAAAGTGTTTGATGAATTTTCCTACCTTTTGCAGTAAAGCGCTCTGAGACGCCATCCAGCGTGGAGAACGCTATATCAATCCAAGTTGTTGTTGTTAAATAATGAATAGGACGTCCAGCACCTTGGACCATCCTCCCAATGTGAAAGGTGCTACACAAATGTCATTTGTTGTTGTTGAATACTTGCATAATACGATCTCTAGATGGTTAGGAGTACTTTGACAATTTATAAAATATTACCAATAATGGTCAATTTAAGGACATCTGTTAGATAATAAATAGTTGAAGGATATGAAATATGACAAAGCACACTGTGTTCTTACAGAGCTCATTACAGAATAAGACTGCCCAGTGGGGGAGACACTATCTAAGCCATAAAGAAACCAAAGAATTCCAGGTAGTTTGGGGATTCTGACCAGCTGCCTTGTGAAGCAAGCTTATGATATTTAGCTGATCTCAGCCAGGATAGCAGTTGAGATACTAACAATTGATCTTAGTTCAGTACTAGCGTGCTAGAGAGGTGAAAAAAAAATAGATAAGATTTCTGCTGAATAACTGATGCTGTAAAGTGTGTGCTATGTGAACCCACATAATATGTGAGGATTAAGCTAAGCTGTGATACACCCCCCCCCCCCCCCCCCCCTCCCCACAGTTTGAGTAATGTAAGGGTGCTGGAATGTTACCAGTACCCATTAGACTGTAGGCCAGCAAATGCACCTTTGAAAGGAGAAGAGAACATTGGCAGCAAAAAAGCAATATGATAATAATACTGCAGTTTATTGTTCTTCTCTGACACAACTACCACAAGAATTTAGTTTGACACTGGCTCCACTATAACAGCTGGAGCTTACACAATGTGTGGAAAAGCATGCACATCATAATGTCACAGTGTCACTACAATGCATTATAAAACAAGTCTATCTGCTTATCAGTGTAAATTTGATACATTTGCCCCTTACTTCTCTTAAAGATCTAACAACAACAGTACCCTTCATATGGGGAGTGTCTTGGTGCATTTATCTAAGGATGGATGACAAGGTGAAAAGCAACACTGCTGTAAGGCTCCTATTTGGAAGAAACCAGATCAGTGCCAAGTGCTGGTTAGTATAATCCGTTGGTGTGAGGGAGGAGGCAATATATAAGTGCCTTACTCCTAACAGCAGAGTTAATACAGCCAGGACATTCCCCCACGCAACTGAGTCCAGCCACATCCTTCAAGGGAGGCACTGAGCGGAGGTAACACACTTCCACACAGGAAAAGGGGGCATTGATGGAGACCTACCACCCATTGGCTACAATTGGCACATAGCCTAGGGATATAGAGAGCGGAGAGAAAGGGATGAGAAATCATAGAATTATAAAATTTTGAATATTTATAGCATAGAAAGAGATCATTTCGGTCCAGAGTTTAGGTTTCAATTTTTTTAAAAAAACTGCGAAAATCTGTAGAAGGAATTTCAAGCTTAAAATGCTAATGGCAGTGAGGAGTATGAACATTGATCCTCTCCTAACAGCTCAGTGAAGTTCATCAGTTTGTGCACTGATGTTAGCATCAAACACTCCCTGCTCGGGTGTAGCAATGGGCAACAGTAGGCTTTAAACTCAACCTCACAAAGAGCATCCCCTTTCCACTTCTCACACCACCCATCTTTATACTGTATTCAAATGATCTGAAGCTTGTCAATTCAGTGCCTACGTTTGCCTGGTTTGTAATGCAGTCAGTGCCCATCCACAGTAAACTAATTTACAACTGCAGCATTTTACAGTGGGATCTTTACTCCAGAAATGGGAGAAGACTTCATCCCTTCAGTCTGAGATGTTAGAATCCACAGGTGAAAGCACAATGTGCAAATCTACCATAGCATCCAATTGCTCCACAGAGTAGATTTCACTTTTGTTTTGTTCCATATGTCACTCAGTGAGAGCATATTTAGAACATACACAAACTCCTCATACTCTGTCTGAAGATATAGCTTCATTACTGTCACACACAAGTTCCCACAAGAGAATTCAAATGATCATACCCTAAATGTTCTCACCACTTTCAAAGCATTAAAGTCTCCAGGAAACATTGGGCTCTACAGAGGCTTTACTGATTTCAGATCTTTTGTTAAACCTGGATAATCATCTGTTGTCTGATTAAGATTCTGATGCAAAATGTATCTCAAGATTTTATCTTAGTGCAATTCTTGTGGAAATTCATGGACTAACAATCGAAAAGAATGTGATTGTTGAGCGGGGCATTTCAGTGGAAATCTGTGGATGTTTTGAGTTGAGTTGCTGAATTAGGGAAGTGAAAACTTGCAGGCTTCTCTCCAGTGGTGTGAACATTATCCACTTACTGAAAACTGGGACCGGCTGTCTTTTATTGTTTTTTTCATTTCTCCCTGGGAATTTACCTTTGGGTGCTAGTGAGAACAGAGGGATTAACACTTCTCATTTTGATCATTTTTAGTTTCACTTCATTCTTCTGCTTTAAAGCAGGAATGACTGACTCACAGAACAAATAATCAGTGCAGCAATGCAGAAGGAAATTCCTTTTCCTTCAATGTATTTTGATTTGGGAAGAGTTCTCTTTATAACATTCCAGTGCCTTGGGACATCCTCCTGACATGAAAGTTGCTATACAAATTTAATTTTGTATTGTATAAAAATATTTGTTTGTGTTTAGTGCCTAAACAGTCCTCTGAACCTTTCTGTTTCTCTTGTAGTCAATCAATAGTTTGAATCATGAAAGAAATAATAAATAATCCTTGCATTTGATATATCGCCTTATCATGCATTCAGATGTCTCAAGGCGCTTCATAGGATATAGTGTAAAATAGATTGACTGGTATTTTGTAGGCAAAAGAAACACGGCAGCCAGTTGTGCACAGCAATGTAGCATTGTTTTAGTCCTCGCAATGTCACAAATTCAACTCTTCTTTCATTGTCCTTTACCCGACAGAAGCTGATCAAAGGTTTATTCTCAGAGACTTTTTGACTCTTGATTAAAATTTGTTTCTAAAAAGGATTCAACTTTTTTTTGTGAAGTAAACAGTGTCCAGTGGAGGTCAAGAGTTATTCAAAAAATTCACTCCCACACCCAGCTATGGTGCCCGTCCAACAATGTCAAGCGCTTTGAGATGCCCTCCCAATATGAAAGGCTCTGTGTAAATGTAAATTGTATTGCACATTATCTTGTATTCTTTCACTCATCTGTTTCCTTTTTGATATTACTATATATAATTTTGTTGGCTCTGATATATTAGTGTTGTACAATATGCACATTTTAGTCTGAATGCCAGAGACTATGGATTGTGTATTAAAAATGCCAGTTCTTCCTTTTTTCTTTCTAAGAATAACACTTGCTCAGTGTTGAATTCTACAGCCTGAAGTGTTGCATCAAAGCAAGGACATGCTGATAATCCTAAATCTTTTAACAATACTTATCAAGATTAATATTAGTCTGTTGTATGTTTAATGGAACAAATGCTCTGGAGTAAATGTTAATAAATAATAGTCTATTGATTTATCGACTTTCAAAATTAATAACTCACTGAAAGCTGAATCTACCTTCATCTCCTGGGCTCTCGTTCTTCTGCTACTTATTGCAGTTGTAAACAAATATCTGTTAGCCCCGCAAAGACATCAACAAAGCCATTATTGCTAGCAGTGTGTGAAGAGTAGTTCTGAAGACTTCCACAAACTGAAAGCTCTGAGACAGAACGAGAAGGGACACTTTTGCTTGAGAATCATGCGTATGGAAAACAACTTTCTTCAAAGGAATGCTAACTGTGCATATTTGATAAAAGGGTCACAATATGTATTACTGGTCTCACACTTTTTGCTTTTTAACTTCCTTTTTACACCACTAAATATATACAAATCATGCAAACTACTGGATTGTAGCCAGATGCTATTTTTTTACCATTGAATTAAGGAAGAGTTTAAGCACTGAGGATAAACCGTGCCTGTTTTAAGAGCAAAAATCACAAGTATATTCATACTTTACATATCAACATTTAAACCCATGTTCTAACAGTGAAACTTACCAGTGTCCTCCCTTAATGTCTACAGAGAGCTCTCTCCTCTGTACCTGCTCCTTGCAGCCTCTACCCAGATTTGATTAAAAAAGGAACTAACTGTGACAGAGTTTGAAGCTACAGAAGAAGGAACAGGAACAAAATCACTTCGTTCTCTTTTTTTTCAGATGAGTACCTTCGGAAAAAAAGGAAGGAAGGGAGGGGAGAGGAAGCCAACAGCCCTTTGACTTCCTGCAAAAAAATAAGGAAACTCCAGATAATCATCTTTCTCTGAGAAAAAAAGAGATTCATATGGAAACAACAAAAAAGGAAATTAGATAGAGGTTTGTGCCTTCATTCCCAGCCTGGACTGGGGCACTGGTTACATACAGGAATGCAGTACTTATGGAGAAGATAAGCCTTTTTTAAGCACAATCCATCAATTGTCTGTGGGCAATAAAAGCTTTTCATTGCTTATCGTAATCAAATTATTATTAGAATGCATTCCTTGTAAGTTTTGTTTCATATCTGTAACTGAAGTCCTTTACCAATATAATCTAAATTAATTTTATTTATTGCTAAACCCTTCTAGCAGTACCTCATGAATAGAATTTTATGAAAATAAAATGACTAATGTTTAACTTTTGCACACATTTAAACTGATGGATTCTGATCAATTTTTATGCTTACAATAAACTGCTCTTGTAGCTGCAAAAGTTTACAACAGAGAGAAGTGATCAACGGCGAGTATTTCTACAATAACTAGCTGGAAACTAATGAAAGACATTTTATTACCTACAGCTCAATCTTAGAAAGAATGTGCATTTGAGAGGAGATAAACAGATTACCGAAAAATAGACCACTAGTGATGCGGATACTGTGACTGTGGAATAGCCATGGCTCATGCGAGTTATGTTGCTCAAATTTATTCCACGATTTATTTTCCAAAATCTTCTTCTTTCATTATTTATCCCAGTCCTCGCTAACTCCATTGGCTCCCTATTTCCCAGTGAATTGTTTTCAAGGTCCTCACCCTCACCTATAAATCCCCTCTCGGCCTAGTACCTCCTTATCTTTTTGCATTTATATATATCTAATAATAATCCTTGCATTTGATATAGCAGCTTATCATGTCTTCAAGACATCTCAAAATCCTTCACAGAATATACTGTAAAGTGAATTGACTGTTTTTTTGTGGGTGAAACGCGGCAGCCAATTGCGCACAGCAGTATCCCACACACAGTCGTGGATTGAAGGGACCAATTTTTTTTTTGAAGGAATTATTACCTCCGGAAAAATGATCTGCCAATTGACTAACAACCGGGTTCCTAATTACTGCTAGTAATAAATGTCTTTGTTGTACACTCTGAAACCTAATGTTATTTCTCAGCTGCATTAAAGCTGTTTTATCTGTCTTTAGCTTTTGATCTCTTTGTTCACTGTTGATATCAATCTGTGTTGAAGTATTTTATATTTTTTCACATTTCTCTGCTTGGGTCTTGGTGCATCACATACCATACCTTGGCAGGAAAGGTGGGCTGGTGGCCCTCTTTTCAAAAATGGCTGACCTTTGCTGGTAACAACTTCAGTGCTATTATATCCCAGGGCAAAGCATGTTGCAGCACTAATGCCCTGCTTTACGGCGCTTACTCACTCTCGGCATCCAAACTATTGCCTTCAGCACCTTTACCACACCTACAGCATTTTCCTCTTTCCAGCATCATTGTTCTTACTGCATTGTTCAGATTCATTTGTCTCATGGAATAGAGTTGGGACCCCTGATTCATAATGGGGAAGAATATAAACTTTAAAAACATTTTAAAAAATCCCATCACTCTATTAAGGATTCCCTACTATCTCCTGAAGAAAATTCTGAAGTCCTTATTCTCCTTTTCTCCATAGATATCACATAAAATTCCAGAAATTTTTCCAACTTTACATCTTGACCTGTTGCCTTGACCTCAGAAACCATTGTGTTCCACAACAGCATTCCAGCATCTTTATGTTCGCTTTGTGCACTTATCCCTCCAATCCTCAATCTCATTCCAACCATTTGTGTTTGTGGGTCATTGCTGTGTGCAAATTCGCTGTTGTGTTTGCCACAAAATAGTTTACAGCATATCCTGTAAAGCACTTTGAGATATCCTCCCAAAGTGAAATGCGCCCTATTAAAGGCAAGGATTATTATTATTATCTTTCATACAACTTCTTTTAAAAATTCTTAAATAGCAAAACATTAGCTGCTTCATCTGATACCAAGATGATCCTTACATTTGATAATATACCTCATCAGCTCAAAATGTCTGAAAGCACTTCTCAGAGTTTTCTGTAAAATGTAGTGGCTGTGTGTTTGTTGGCAAATGCAGTAACCATACAGCTGTGAAGTGAACGATCAATTCTATAATCTGGGGGAATTGTTGGCTGGGAGATCAAAAGAAACTTCTTTACCAAATAATGCCATAGGATCTTTAATGCCAATTGGGACAGGCAAACGGGACACCAAAGAATAAAAAATCTCCAACAATACAGCACTGACATTGGAGTGCCAACCCAGAACCAGGGTCTCCAGCCAGTTGAATGTCGCTAAGTAGCACTCTTGAGCATGTTCAAAAAGACAAGAGAAAGGAGTGGTAGAATTGCGTAAATATTCAGTCCAGTTGAAAACGAAGCCAGATGCACAAAGTATTTCATGAATCTGGAAATAAAAATAAAAACGTTTTTGTTTAAACTGTGGTAAATATTGTTTCTTCTTCTTGATTTTTGTTGAGCATGCACAAGATGCCACCTAGTAGCAATCGACCTCAGGCCTAGACTACGAGCTCAAAGTCCTGATGCGGAGTTTCCTAACCTACAACTTTCTGATTCAGAGACAAGAATGCTACCACTGAGGCAAGCTGACACTGATTACCTATTTCACACATTAATGACTCTGTGTGTGTGAGAAAAGGAATAAATACAATACAAAATTACATTTGTAAAGCGCCTTTCACATTTGGAGGACATCACAAGGTGCTGAACAGTCAGGGATTAGTACCCGGTGGTGGGGGTGGGGGGTGGGGGGTTGGGATCAGGGAGGGTGGAGCGCGGGGAGGGTGGGCGTAGGAGAGTGGCCGAAGGCACAGTCGAAGAGGAGGGTCTTGAAGCGTGCCTTGAAGGAGCCAATGGAAGGAGCAAGGCGAAGGGAACATGGGATGGAGTTCCAGAGGGTGGAATAATTCCAAATACATAAGAACAAGACAGTAAAATTCTCCAGATTATCTTCGGCATTTTTTCAATAAATAGTCTCCTACTCACTGATTTTGCTTAATGCTGAATTTGTGGTGGGATTTGCTGAGTGCAGCTAATCTTTCAACATGTATTTTTAATGGGGAATCTGATTATTAGAATACAATACTTCACAAAAGAGGCAGAATAAATCCTGTAATCTTCAAGATCAGACAGTTTATAGTCGTATAATAAAGAATAATTTGCCATCCACTGGAGTTAATAGGATAAATTTTGCATTTATTTGCTTGTGATTCTTAAAAAGGTACTGTCTAACCTCCTAGAATGGGGCAGTGAGGGGTGGGGGGGAGGGGGGAGGCGAGTGTGAGGAGCGGACAAGCCAAAGCCCTAATGGATAGGATAGTCCTAGCTGGACTATCCTCGTTTGGGAAGTTTGCCAGACACTACTTTCAATGGCAAGCTATGTCGGGTTTACAATAACAATATCAACAAATTACATTTGAATGGCCTTTCATATCGGAAGGATGCCCCTAAGGCACTGGACAGTCAAGAGTTTGCACCTGAGCTGGGTGTGGGTTTGGGGGGCAAGATGACCGAATGTGCTCTCAAAGAAGAGGTCCATTTTGAGATGGACCTTAAAGGAGGCAAGGAAAGGGACTCCGGGTTGAAGTTATAATAAATAATAATAATCCTTACATTTGATGTAGCGCCTTATCACATTTTCGAGACGTCTCAAAGCGCTTCACAGAATATACTGTAAAGTGAATTGACTTTATATTTTGTGGGTGAAAATGGAGTTCCAGAGAATGGAGGCAGAGCAGTGATCCTGGAATCAAGGGTGGGGACAAGACATAGAATTGAGTTTCGCTGATTAACCTTCAGCAGTACCCAACCCTGGGGTCTTACTGTGTCTAATATTCTCTGGGATTAGGTAAACAGTGTGTGCCTTTCCAGGGAGAGAGTGAACATTAATTCTATTCAGTGTGCGGAACTCTGAATCTAGTTTCCATATGTTAGGCATAGTTTCAGACAAAAAATAAAAACTTCTATTTAAAATTAATTTCCCTTCATATTCAGCACTATTATCCATTGGAGAATACGGACAGGAAGTCTGATTGCAGGACCTCGCTTCTTTGAGAGTGACTGCTAGGAAGTGTGTGAGACTGGCCTGTGATGATTCACCTGTTCACCTTCCCTCCCTCTTAGTGGGAAATGCTTAATCTCAGTTTGGCAGCACCAATAATGTCGCAGCCAAAATCCAGAACTTGGGCTTGGAATTGTGCCTGACAACTGTACATTGGCACAATGACCATCTGTGCCAAGTATTTAGTAATTTATCTTTTTTACTATTTCCCCCATTGGAAAGTTGTTTTCTCTTTGAGTTTAGGTCACCCAAATAATGCACCGTTCCCTATCCAAGTTGGCAAGTTGATCTTCCCCCACTTCCTTTTTTTAGTGGTGCAAAATCACCAGGGTCCATCTGCCAACACATAATTTAATAGATACATAGAGTGATTCAACACAGAAATAGGCCATTTGGCCCAACTATACTGGCTCCCACCCTCTCTTACACCTCTCTATTCTCTATTGAAGTACAAGACAGCATCAACAAGATCGGTCAGGTCACATTACCGAAGCGGAGTGGAAAACCTGAATTTTACTTACTCCTCCTCCTTATTGTTCATCTTTGAGCTGAGTAAAGCTCTGTACCCAGAGGTCCCCAATCCGGTGTTGTATTTTCAACATAAAGAGTCTGCTATGCGCAAGAACATTTGAAGGACCACTTAGGAGTGGAGGTGAAATCAATTTGAATTTGCTGCATTTATTCTGAAATCGATGTGTTGACAAACACATTACAACAAGGTAA